TTCAATATATTTTTTAAAGTTAGGGCTTGACGGGATGTGTACCGAAAGTAAATTCCACGAGAGACATTTTCAGATGGAACTGAGTGGTTGCTCGTTTAGAAAAAGTTCAAAGACAATATCAAATTCTCTAAACTTGCTGAATGTTTATAGCAAATATACATTTCATGAACAGATCAATGATTTTAAGCTAACAACTGTTATACATTTAATGAAGAAACTAGACAATAATGTACACTCTTACTTTATTAAGTTCTTTGAAAATGTAGGGTCAACGTTTGTATTTATTTGAGATGTTATCGAATATTGTAGAGTCAAGGCGAAATGATATTATTGTATTCCACGTGGCACATGAAAAAATAGTACATCCGTTTACTCACTTTTTTTCGCTACTATAGATGTTGTTGCTAACAGATGCATCTTTGATTTTCAAAGATGTTCAAATATTTACTATGTTATATAATGTGTAACGGAACTTTGAATTTTAAGCTCGTAATATATATATATTTTATGTAACGAATACTCACTGTATCTATTATATATATATATATATTATATATACTGTAGTATATATAATATATGAAATATTTAAAACCAGTCGGCACTCATAGATTCCGGAGCTTCACTTATTAGTAGCTTAAAATATTTCTTTTATTTCTCCAAACACACGAGATGAGTTTATGATCAAATGAAACAATCCGTATTAATTAAACAGCAACAGCTAAGAGAGTGTTCTATGAAATATATATTTTGTCAGTTAGTTTGCATTGTTAATTACATTTCTGTGCTATCTTAAGAAAGCTTCTGTTGCATTTTAATTTCAAAATTTATAATTAAATCAGTTTTTGCCATCTAAATTAAGTTTGTCTTGTATTTTTCTCACAAACGTTAACGTTGGTTCAGTAAATTAAGAATCTCATGCGTACTCCTTTGCATCAACTGAAACAATACAGCTGGTTCAATATCTAACAAAAAGTAAAATAAACTACTGATCTATACTGAGACCGCAGGAAGACTGAATAATGTGTTAATTGTCTATAGATCAAAACACACGCTACTCCTCCTTCAGTATCTCACGATATTCAATTCGGAAATAGGGATTAAGGGAACGGCCTTTATTAATTAAACAACTTTACGCAAGAAAGAGCCGAACAGAAAACAGTTTCTGTTTAGTTCTCTAACATTTCTCACGTCTCTAAAATGTTGCCTGCGTAAACATTGAAACTCCTACTAAACAATGTATTAACTAGAATAATCCAGAAACATCGGTGATAAAAGGATACATTTTAGGATAGTTAGTTTTGAATTTTGTTTGCTGCGGTATTTGATTAGGTGAGTAGAAGTAAACCAACAAGCACAACGATTAACTTTCTTATTGTTAATAATTTATGGTAAAGTATATATGCTCTAGTTTCAGACGTACATATCGAAAAAAAAAACAGTTACATTGATTTGAATGTTATTAAACACGCAGGTGCTTTTAGTTGGTTTTAATATTATGTTAAACTGGACAATACTAAAACAGAGAGTACAGGATTCAAAGTACTGGTGATTTAAATCTTTTCTGAAATTTGAAAGTATGAGAAGAATTACAAACGTAATTGTTTTATGAAAATAAGGATATAAAAAGTACATTTAACAGAATAAATTAAAGTAATTATTTATGGAATGAGATAAAATTAGTAAATCTGTTTCAAGGTTAAACAGGTATATAGTATTTATTATATAACTGCACCGATCATATGTCGTATATGCATTATAAAACAGGCACAATAAAAAGTTCAACACATGACAATGGCGAGCAACGATCCAATAGTTGTAATAATTACTTTAAGAAGATTTAGCTATACTTTAGTTTTGTAACAAAGTTACTTAACATTGTTTTATGGTTTCATATGATTTATTAAGAATAGGTTTTGCTAGAGTATCATATAAAAAATAAGTGAAATACTCTTCTGATATACATGCATGTATAAAAATATCGGGTGAATAGCATGTTTTGGTACTTGGCCTATTTTCCAGTATCTAACTTAGGTTTTATTTAGATCCATTTAATGGTTTATGTTGTTTATAATCAGATACATATAACAATATTTATATACGCTGTCACTAACTTCCGGAAAACTAGAAAGTTTTTCCTTCATTATACTTATTTCCTCGCTAAGCCACCAGATGAGAGCTTTCATCGATGAAGCAGAGAGTAAAAATAGCATTGTATTTATTATTATTATTGTTATTACAGGAATAAGTGGCTGAAACTGAATCCGCTTGAATGCACATGAATTGTCAGTTCAACTATTGAAAAGTAGCCAAGACACTTGAAATAACTGAAGTTGACTAAGGAAACAAAACTAAGAAATAAACTCAAAATTTCCCCGCAAGTTTGTCAAACTACTTAAATAATGCTTGGATATTTTAAGTATTTCTGGAATCGTTCGGAAAGTTTGTTTAAGTTGAGCACAAAGCTATACAATGGGCTATCTGTGCTCTGCCCACCACGGGTATCGAAACCCTGTTTCTAGCGTTGTTAGTCCGCAGACATACCGCTGTGCCACTGGGAGGCCATTTGGAAATATATCTAGTTAATATCAGTAACTTATTAGAGAATTGTATAATCGGGAACAAGAGGCACGATAGTGACTACAGCCAAGTTAGGAAGATGGAGTAACACTGAGATTTCGTAATTCCTTATATAGGAACCTTTTTTTTTTCAAATCCATGGCATTTTTACAGCTGTTCCAAACGCTGGAATGCTATTATTGTTATGTTTCTGAACAGATTTCGACAATCTTTCGTGAAATTAAAACAGTAATTTCATATCTGTTTTATATTAAGAGAAATAAGCGATGAAAATGTGATAAAATTATTGTTATTTTTCTTCTAGCAGAAACAACATTACAATGGTAGATATTGATCTCTAGCTAGGGAACGCTTAACAACTATAGCATAGATGTCAAAATGTCTTATGAACATCCTATTGATAGTTCTAACAGTTTATGGTCCACACAGACACAAGGCTAAATATAATGACTTAAAATGTCTAAGAGCAGGAGGTAAACATGACACGAGCGAGTGGTCTGAAACTTTACAACTGTTGTCAGCCATATAAAGATGGAAAACCTAAAAAAAGAGTCAAGTTATATAAAAGGAAAATCATATAAAGATGTAATGTAAAAATGGGCAAGTCAAGAAGTAAAACAAAGTTTGAATACTTGGCCTCCTTTTTATAACAATTGACTGTTTGTTTGTAGTTATGCACAAAGCTACACAATGGGCTATCTGTGCTCTGCCCCCAATTTCTAGCGTTGTAAGTCCACAGACATGCCATTGTGCCACTGGGGGGGGTTAACAATTGAAAAAGTGATATAGTTTCAACATTATATTTAATTAGCTATGCTCATTTTAGTTCTGAACTCTATAAGTATCTTACTTTGATCAGAAATTAATATTAATTATCCAATTTTTTCATTACATTTTCACAAGGTTTGCCCATTCATATAACTTGACTATTTTTCTTATATTGCATCTCTACATGGCTGACCTCTTTATTTTAAACTTGATTCTTTTTCTTATATTGCATCTCTACATGGCTGACCTCTTTATTTTAAACTTGATTCTTTTTCTTATATTGCATCTCTATATGGCTCTTTTTGTAGATGTGAAGTATTTTGATGGAAAGTATATACGAAACACGTCTGCTTTGAATAGTCCTTTGTTTTCCTTTGAAAACTAAGTTTTTGATTACAAGCGTGGACTAATAATAACTTGAAATTGAGTTCTTAAACAAAAGACTTTTGTAACTGAAAACGTTCAGATCAAGAACCAATGCTGACGTTGGTTATTTTGGTTTTTTTCACGCAAAACTAGACAAATGGCTATATGTATTAGCTGTCACCAATTTTTGAACTGATAGACTAGAGGTAAAGCAGCTAGTTAACACCTCCAAGTGCCAAATTTACTCGAATGATATGCGTGCTTATTTACAGATCCCAAACTTAGACCAAATCTTACTTCATTTGTAAAGGTAATGCATCAAGCTTACCATTGAAATATTTAATGTTATCCTTTGTTTCTGAATTGACGTCATCAACCACGTGAAAAACCTAGAACACAAACAAGGCTCGCGTTTCTTGGTAATACAGAGCGCGTAGAAAAATCGAACACCGGAATTAGATTCACGTTTGTCTGCGTATATAGTTTTGTTAATACTAAATTTTACAGAGTACACACAAAAGCAGCTTTAAGAAAGGATCCTGTTTAATGCAGATGCCCCAAACAAATCTAGAACCGTCTCCACGTTTGAAAATGACAAAATGAGAAACAAAAAGAAATCACATATACAGAGCTGCACTCTAAAGTGTAGAAAGGGGAAATAAGAAAAAAAAAGATATAATTCTAGTATCTGGAGCCTGAATGTAATAAATATTTTTGTTGGTGTATCAGTTAAAACCTTATTTAACAGTCTTCATATGATGGAACCAAGACAAAGAATAGTTATTTTAAGTATCAAGATAAAAAGAAAATCCATTGTAATTCAAAGATAAAATTTGACACTAACGATATATATATATATATAGAATACATTGGTAACGAGTAATGTTCTAGGTAAATATCATACTAAATTTTGATTGTTTTTATTATGATGTATTCTGTATATTAAGAAAAATTGAGGAAGTATTTTAGTGGGCTGTATATATTATTTGCGTAATGTTTTAGTTTGAAA